GGAGAGCCTCAAACCCTATGCTTAGCCGTTTAGTTTTTAGTGTAGTGCTACTTTGTTTGCAAGATATATGCTTATGTGTGTTAATCGATACAGGGTTTTACCAGATGGTTTATAACCAAAACATAAGTGAGTAAAAATTACGCATATATTTGAGCATTGCCTTTTTCAAGTAAAAACTAACCTTTCTGCGACACTGCCAATCCTTTTTTGAGACCAAATCGTTATTGAATTTTATAAGACACGTAATTAACGAAAGGTCGACTTGTGTAATGCTTATGCGAAGTATTTTGCTTTTCGTTGAAGTAATATTTACATTTACGTACATTTTCTTAAAGGAGCTAAACCTAGGGTAGAGAATTAAAAGACAAGAAAGGTAAAACCCTAGGAAAATCATAGGGATAATAGATTAATCATTTGAACTGCGGTAGTGTTTGCCAGTACCAACAAGATTACAACTTAACCTAAACGGAACAAAAAAAAAGTAAAATACCTAGGAGTTCTTTAACTATAAATTTCGAAGAAGCACTTATAGTATACTTGAAAAGAGATTTTTTAGATATAGAGGAAAGTGAATTTTCTCTATTTTAATTGTAAATGTAGAACATGAACTAGTTATATTGCATCGTATAGGTAACTTACAAAAATTCCTCAACAGAGTGGAACAAGAATTTCCACTCAATTTTTTATTTATTTAAAATAATACAAGGAGGGACATTGAATGAGAGAGATTTCTGTAATCTTGAAATGCTGATATTATTGTGTAAAAAAAAATTAATATAGACTTTCATCTATTTGTAGCGTACTGTTTAATAGGGGTTTACTAAATTAGTCACGAAAGAATTCCACATTATCCCCCGTATGAGAAATTTGCTTCCCATAATTTTAACTAAGTTTATTCTTTATAAACATTTCTTTAACACAAGAGAAAAATAAATAAACATATTTAAATTTTAAAATAATTTTAAACATATAGCTTTTAAACTTATGTATTAATCAATTTTAACTTATAAGAAAATTATAAGTTTTTATCAAATATTTACCAACCACACTTTGTACAGTGTGTTAGAAACATGTAAGAATTAGTTTTACAGATATGGCTAATACTTCTAATAGGAAAAAAAATGTAAACGGACTTTTCTTTGTAAGTTAAAAATAAAAATAATAACTATATTATTTTAATTTACCTCCGTTAAGTGTAAAATTTAAAAAGTATAGTGTTATATAATAAAGTGGAGTTCGAGGACATAAAACACCATATGAGTGAAATGGTTTCGCCATAGGTTTTGCAGAGTTAGGTCGTGGGTTCGAAACTTCGCCCCCGTCAAAATTTTTGAATTTTTTGAGTTCATCGTTTTCTTGTTGATCTTGTTGAACTGCAACACCATGGATCCAGATCAGGGCTCTTCGAGAAGCAGGAAGGTACTGACATACACGAAATCCCTTATTTCTCTGAATGTTTTCTGGTCCAAATTTATGTTTTTTATGCGTGTCTTTTCAGCACAAGTACACTCCCAGGCCGCCCAAAGCTCATACTCCCAAAAAGTAATTCAACAAATTCACTTTGAATTCCTCGTATCATTGCAAACATTGTTCTCTGATTGCCTTAAGAAATTGCTTCGATGCAGCCAACTGGACAATAAGCAAGACGAAGACAGCACACCTGCTCGACTTCTCTCGCGTCGATATGTAAGTCTCTTCACTCCTCATTTTCCCTATTCTTCATCTTCTTTTCACTGTTCTGCTCTAATTTTTAGCTTTTATTATTTGTTCTGAACTTGTCTTTCAAAATCAATTGCTGTGAAAACTAATTTCCCTCTTAGATCCGTTAGCCAAAACTATGAATTGTAATGTTCCAAACATAAATTGTCCCTCTCCTTGCTGTTGACGACAAGTTAAGGGTATCTCTGTTCTCGTTTAGGAAAAGAAGACTGTTATAGTAATAAAACTCAGAAATGTTTATACACTTGAATTATTCAGTCAAAACCAGTTGTCTTCTTTAACTACGACTCTATTTTTATTTTTTTTTTGAAAAAAAATATAAAGGTCGCATTTTTAATTCAACATAACTAATAGTAGTTAGCGAAGAATTTAAATAAGTAATTGCAATAACAATCTTACCAATTTTTTGTATTCATTAAAAAAATTACATTCAAAACAGAGTATAATAAAAGTTTAAGTAAAAATAAGTATTTTTTTTTCGCGCAAAAAAAATAACAAATACCAAGATTTTTGGGATTACCGAAAGGGAATCAAAGTTTAAAATTATTGAAAGTACTAAGTCAACTTTGTTTCCTTATTCTTTTACCTTCTCTTCAATAAAAGAAATCTATAACTTCATGTTCAGTTTCTGATTAATTTCGGTATAATTGTTCAGAATAGCTTACTCGTGATCTCTGGCTTCCTGAACCATAGCGAAGATATAGTATCTGATCATGTCATCAATATTGCAGCTAGCCTTATTTATGGTCCTTCATGCTCGAAATGTCTTCTACCAGATTAGACTATATAGACGAATAGTAATTCTCCATTTAGAAGTCTATTTTATAAATGTGAATTAGACTTAACATTTTTGTTTTATTAATCCTTAACTAAGTTCCCAAAAATTATGTTTGCCATTGTATCAACCTCTGTTAAAGAAGTTGCCACAAAGACTTCACGGATTAACTCGGTTAAATATATCACAAGGAGCAATTGTTACGTTGAGCTTTTCCTTTTAGTTGTCCTTTTTTAATTCCCTTAATGCTAAAGTGTCACTAATTTACTTTTTTTTCTACGTTTGCAGGAGAATTCTGCGAGGCGAGAGCCTAAAGTCGAAAGAAAATGTAAATTATCATTAGTTTAAGCTTACATGCCATAATACATAGTTGAAAATACCAAAAATATGGCATTCATTATCAGGCAATCTTTCATGATAGTTCATTGCTTTTAGGAAATGTTTGTGGTTAATGATGAAGTCTTTTAAATTAAAGATATTTGTATGGAGAGGAGAGGTAATTAATATAGTTTATCTGGGTAAAGGGAAAAACCCGGTTATAGTTTCAAACGAGTTATAGTACATTTAAATCAAATATGTTATGGTTCTACACTATTTTACCATGGAAAATATTAGTGGAGCATTTTGTGTAAAGCTCCTTGATTAGTTGATTGCGTGGCCTGCCCACAATGACAAACTATCTTCACCTTCGTGATTGATATCTTATTCATGTTGTTTGCTGCTTATTTTCGGTGTTTTAAAACGTGCAGCAAGCGTGGAAGTTGCATTTAGTCCTGGAATTTCATCAACCTCCCTCAGGTCATATGGCACGAGCAAAGCTATAGATAATGGCACAAACAGTGGCTCGCCGTCTACATATTTTTCTAAAGAGCAAATTCGTTCACGACGTTCTTCTGCTGCTACTGAGGATCAAAATGATACCAGCACGATAGATGTTACTGATAATACCATCAATGCATCAGCCAGGAAATTCAAAAGAGAGTACAAGGAACCATGGGTGAGAATCTGTGATCACTATCATCTATTCCATCGTTATCTGTATCTTTCTCAAGCATCTAAGCATTTCAATGTTTATCTACAGGATTATAACAACTCTTATTATCCCATTACTCTTCCACTAAGGAAGCCAAATTCTGGAAATCCAGGTTTGTTCTAATATATATATGTCAATAAATGATCTATTAATAGAATTAATATTCGTGACCTCGACTGATAAAAGTCCGAAGGATAACTTTTACACAGTGCAGTAGCAGTACTCTAGAAGATATAAATTTAGCAGAAGTCTCCAAAGGATGCTTTTCTAAACATTGACAGTCATGTGACTTTTTAATCTGCTAGAAATTCTTGATGAGGAAGAATTTGGAGAAGCTGCTACTAGTTCGGAGTATGATGAGAATACTGTTAACTCTGCTGCAGAACTCGAGCTCTTGGTTAGTAGTCATCATGGAATATAATAAATTGTACAAGCATTATACAGCTGAAACAGATATAATACTGCTCAGATGATTGTTTGACAGGAGAAGAGCGAGCAACATAAGATGTTTTTATTTCAGCTTCCTAGAAATATGCCTTTTAACGAGGGGAAGGAGAAGGAGCAAATTCGTACAACAGGATCCGGAAAGGCGCGTGCTTTGGAAGAGTTGCCAAGCGGATATATGGGAAAAATGCAGGTGTACAAGAGTGGAGCAATCAAACTTAAACTTGGAGAAGCTCTGTTCGACGTACGAAACTAAGAATGTTTTTTTGCTATTTTCCCATCTCCATTTGTTAAACTAAGTGCAAAGTCAGTTTATTTTTCCCTTGTGGTTCCAATTAAAATTGAAGAATGAATTTTTTTGTCGGTAGCAGATCAATATTTTAGTTCTTTTACTTGTAACTACAATTACTGCTTATATAATCTTTTGTTCTCTTACAGCTGTCTCCGGGTACAAAATGTGGATTTGCTCAAGATATCGTAGCGGTGAACTTTGCACAGAAACAGATCTGCAATCTTGGCGAGATTAGCAATAAGGTTGTTGTAGTTCCTGATCTTGATTCAATTGATCTGAGAAACACTGGAGGCAAAAATGACTAATGCACCGCGTGCAGGAATGGCACGGTACCTTTCTGGCTTGTGTGAATATGTGATTAATCAAAAAGTCACTGCCAATGGGCAAGTGCAAATTGGATACTAGAACAAGCATTTAACTAATGAAATATCAAGCGGAAAATTAAATACATTTTCTGTAATTGCTTTGGTTACAGGAGTGATTCTGACAAGATTGACTAGTATGGGCACAGTTCACTTGCTTCAACAGATTTGATCTTTTAAGAAAAATGGCCAGCGATGACTATTTTAAACGCATTCTATATCACTGACTAAAATATACTTCCCTTGTATTGTAACATAAAAACCCACTCTAGGCAATCATACTAGTTATGCTGAATAGGAAACTTAAAGCTTCGAAGAAATGTTTTTCAATCAACACAATTGTACTTGAGATATAGAGAAGCATAATCAAGCTTGTTAAGATCAAATTCGCATATAGATTGTAAAGACCAAGTCAAATTCAAGTATACAAATGATAGCTTTTACTCCTTGTTTGGTCCAAAAGGAAGCAAAATCTCTTCTTTTTTGTTTGGGAAGAAGCAAAAAGGGAAAAATAGGTAAACATCCCAATCCCAAAGTTTTACCCACAAGAAATAGTTCCAAAGAATCATTGAGAACTGTCACCACTTAGTTGAACTATCCCGTGGATTAGCTTCTCATTGAATGAATTAGATTAATAGAAACGACCCACCACCACAAATAGGAAGATCATTATGGAAAGCATGAAAGAAACTCTCAGTTTCATTTTGAACGAATTAGATTTTCCTGCATATGCTGCTCTCTTGTGACGTGCAGTTTGAAACAACTTCTTCACAATCTCGGTGATATTCTCAATTGCTTCCATGAGTTTGGCTACTACAGCATCAGACATCCGCAGTATGACATTTTTTGTGTCAGGGGAGTCATTGTCCACTGTTACATCCGAGCTCTCATCTCTTTCTGCAAATTTCAAGTCCAAATTAATCAAAATATAATACCTATATAAACGTGGAAAGTGTCAGTGACATGTCTAACATGCAATAAATGTACAAATGAAATCATATCTCTGCAACAAGATATCATGTTTTTAGTTATTAGTATGAATATCGGATGAGTTACATTGAAAGTCTAGTATGAATAAATTCTCAGAAAATTCAACCAGTTAAACCATTTCATTACATACAATAACACCTAAAAACCAACCTGCATTTAGGGCGTTCCTTAATTCCTGTACGGCTTGGTTTTTCTGTACAGCATCCCAAACAGATTTATCTGATGATAATGATCTTACCATCCTCTGCAACAAGACAAACACATTTTTAAAATTAATGAAATTGCTCTTTGCCCAAAGACTTATATATTTCGTGTGAATGGCAACAGATTTGTCATCAGATCATTTTCACTAGTTTTCTTTACATAATTTATATACAAACAAAAAGCTCAAATATCTGCTGTCAAGTAACTTTGTACAAACATAAAAATAATTCTACAAATTCAACAACCAGAGGTAACTAAAATCTTATTCATGATTATATACAAACATCTGAGTTATTTTATTAAAATAGGAGTCATGTATCATAAACTACACCTCCACACATGCATCAGTCTGCAATAAATGAACTGCAAAAGAAGCTCTATCAAAAACATCAGCTTGTAACATGCTTGAATTATATGAACAGAGAGAAGGTTCTTTCCAGTCTGCTTCAGACAGATCTGAATCTACTTGATCAACCAAAGGAGTATCTTTGACATTATCTACTTCCCTGTCCAATTGGTAATGATAGGTGTTCCTAACATGCTGGACAGGTGAACAAGACCCAAAGACCCTGCACGTACAAAAATTTAATAGGTAATAGTATTTAAAAGAGATATATAAAGACTAATTCATATCACTTTTCAAGCATAAAAACTAAAATATAAATATTACTCGGCATAGGAATAAAATGAATAACTAAACTCAAACATTAAAACAATTAAACATTTCAACAACTAAGATATAAAAAAGAAGACGACCAAAGTGTCAATTCCGAAATTTTACCACATATACCATATTTTGGCATGCATTGCAGTAGAACAGGTAAGAGTAAATTACACTAACACCGTCACTTTTCTCCGTTACCCCTTTCTTTTTATAATTAACATGCTTAATGGATAGAAATACATTGCATGATTAGACTCAATGATACCAAAAAAGAGATTACAGAGTGTTTCCTTGTTAAAAAAATGGTCATGATTGTGTGCAAATTCAAGAAAACTCAGGGTGTCAGTATCATTTGCTGAACAAATGATTTTGCCAAAACAATTGCTTACTGTTTAAGTGAAGTTAGAGCAGTTTGAATCTCAGTGGGAGAAGGAACGGCTCCAAAAAGGGTTTCATCATCATCCACAAAAACCTTGTTTGGGTGATCTGCATCATCGCTGTGAGAGGAAAAAGACGAAACGGGCATCTGAGAGGCAGAGAACGAACCCCTCTTGCAAGGAGAAGACGAGATGACAAGGTACGAGGATTCGATTTTGTGATCATTGCTACAATCAGAAGTAGAAGAATCCCTAGAAAAACTTTTTATACTGTTTTTCGCTGTTTGCCCATGAAAATAGTAAGACATCTTAGGACCGATAAGAGCTGAACGCTGAACAGATGGAAAACAGATAGAAAACAAAGATATGCCCTTTCTTAATAAAAATATATATCTAAAAATATAATTATTACAATAAAAATGTATATACATAAAATAGATGTACTTTATTAATTTTTATAAAATTAGTTGTTTTTTTAAAATATATAAAAGAATATTTATAGTATTATTATAATTATATATTATAGTAAGATAATTACATGTTGTTTTTATATTAAGTAATAATATGTCATTTTTTTTATCTTTACATTAACAAAAATATAGATATCGAGTCGTGATCTCCTTTGCAAATAGTCAATTTATCTTCTTCTCTAATCAGTGTCAAAGTATTGTAACACATAATATACTTTTATTTTTATGTATTTAATATTATGAATTTGAATTTAAATTTCAATATTTATCATTTATTTTGGCATATTAATATGTCATGTATTTTGTGATATGTTTTTATTTTACGGTTTCTTGTTTGAAATTTAACCTTTGTTGTGTAAAATAATTGACATTTTTTTTATCTCCTGTTATTATTTTTAATTATTTTATTCATTTTACTAAAATTTCTTCATTAAATTTTGTTGTACTTTTAATGTTATAATTTCTATGAGTTAAGCGAAATTTGAGAAAGAAAGAAAAAAACTATTTTTAAGAAATTAGTTGAACAAACTCACTCATTAAACAAAAATTGAGCATATTATTGAATATTTTATGTGTCGAAGTGGTCTACTTAGTGAAACAATAATAATTGAAAATTCTCATAAATTGAAAATGTTTAGGTTAGATGTTAACCAAACTAATAAATTAGGAATGTATTAATTTTGTTGAAAAATGTCATGTAAGGTCAATTAAAAGAAGCTAATATAATATGAATATTTAGAATAAAATAATTATAAATATAAATAATGATTCAAGAAAGATTATCTTTTTAAAATTTTCTAATCATAGTAACGAAGTGTACCTCTTATCTGGCTCTCTTAGTATAAGATATATTTAGTGCAACTTGATTAAAGATTAATGGTTCAATTTCTATGTTCAATACTTATTATTACTTAGAAAATCATGATTTACATTAAGATATAAAATCTAATATAGAGATCTCATTAAATCATGGATTATTTTCTATATCTTGAAACAATTTATTATATATTTAAGTAATCAATGTTTAGATGATGATTTTATCCCAATGTTAGCAGTTTTATGTAAAACTATTAAGAACAATAATCTCTTTTCAATGTCAGCAAAAATATCTGTAAATACTCACACCTCCATATAAGCGCATGCCTCGTTATCTACATGTAAATTTTAATGAAACACAACCATAGAAAAAATATTACTAATACTGTTTTTTAAAATAAATAGATATTATCCTGTATCAAATTATGTCCACACCTTATTACTATCCTTGTTTTTTCTTAAATGAAAAATCACAACCACATTATTTTGAATATGTTACATAAAACTCATTTTTTATTTATTCAATTAAACTTACCACACATTATTTTATTTTTTTATATATTTATATACATAAAAACATATTTTTAATATCCTATTTTTCATATATATATATATATAAAGTGTCCCACAGTACAGAAGCAACAAGTGGTTGAAAGTTCTGTACATATTTTGTACAAGGAAATTACCCGTACAACAAATTAGTGGTAGCAGAGCTTTTGGGTTTTTTGGATTTATTAGGGTCAACAGAATTTCAATCCATATTTCTGCACCACAATTATAATTTGTTATGTTCACCATAGAAAAATGCAGAACCTTCAATGGATGAAGACATGAACACAATTTTTTTTCAAGTTTAATTTAATGATAATATTATTTAATTAAGTGCAGTGACTCACTCCTCTTCTCTGCAGTCATGGCTCTTCTCACTTTCCCTCACTTTTGTTCCCATTTTCCATCACGTTCTTCCTTCCCAAACATCCCTTCTTTCTCTCCAACTCGACGCTACTGTTCGATCAAGGAAACCGGAACGGCGATTCTGTGGTTCAAACACGATCTCCGAACCGATGACCACCCCGCGCTTCTCGCTGCCTCCACATTTACCTCACTTCTTCCTATATATGTCTTCGATCGCCGCTTTCTTTCGCGTGAGTAACTAATGCGCTGCAATTTCTGTTAGTGAACTGAACACGCAGTTTAATCTATTGTTTGGTGTTGCAGGTTTCTCCGATGAGACGCTGGAACTGCTTCTGCTTGCACTGCAAGATTTGAGGAAGTCGCTGAAGGATCGCGGTTCCGATTTGATGATCAGATTCGGCAATGCGGACAGCGTCATACAGCAGCTTGCAACGGAGGTTGTTACTTTGTTAGTTGGAGTTTTCTTGCTTAATCTATAGTTCATTTTCGTGCCGTTCCTTTTCTTAAGTAAATTCATCGCTCAGGCCGGAACAGGTCAAAGCCACTTGTGTGTTCGCGGAACAAGAGGTGGAGTATGAGCTACGCCTCATCATAGACGTGGTAAAACAGCGTTTGAAGTCCGTCAGTGTTCCGCAAGGGAGTCCTAGGATTGAATTATGGCAAACTCCGTTTTATGAAGTGAAGGTAGGTGGCAGATTGTTAGAGACTAATTAACTGTGTTTGTTACGTAATGTATGAAAATTTGACTTGGACGAGTTGATTATGTAAAAGTTGAACTCATGGTATGTTACTGTTACATAGGATTTGCAAAAGCTTCCAGCGTCGTATGATGAGTTTAAGAAACTTCGACTTCCTGTGACTACACCACTTCAACTGTCAGTGTCAACGTTACCTGGTGTAGAGATAGAACTGGACTGGGGTGAGTTCCGTGGTGGATAGATCTCTTTACAGGATATTTTGTTTATTGTTATTGTTATCTTTTTCACTGCATTTGTTACTTTTTTTTTTATTAAATTCATTTAATGTTGCCAAAAGTTATGCACTGATTGTTCATTGAATTAGGTGTTCTCCCTTCGTATGATGATATAAATGGATTTATGACCAGCAGCCAACGTAAATCAGGAGAGAATTGGAGGCTAATCAAGGAAACCTCAGCTGAAACCGTTTTACGCAGAAAAGCATTGGAGTCTGGCGATAGAATTGAAAGAAGTTCTAGCTTTGGGCAAACACAATCAAGGGAGCGTAGTGGATCTGTTTTTGTGACAAAAGAAGGAAATGCCGTAGGAGGTGGAACAAACAATGTACTGAATGCACTAGCTGCATATCTAAGATATTTGGAAGGAACAGCTCGTGATGACTGGCAAGAGTATGTAGACAACTTACCTTTTGAAGTTTTTGTTTTTTGTTAAATTTCTTGGAAATATGGAGGCTGAAAATAATTTTTTATAGCTGGATTCTCATTATTCTCCTCATTTTAAGGAGAATGATGTTCTAAAAAATAAACAGAGCCATAATATTTCCCCTTTTTGGTTTTCTGTTTCTGTTTCAGTGTTTTGTATGCATTTCTTCCATTCTTTTATTACATTCTGTTTCCCCTGTATCGTAAGAAGGGATAAAAAGTTTTGTGCGTAGCATTGTTAACATCACTTGCAGCAATTTTCATACTCTACTGTTTTGGTCAGTTTCTCCTCCTAAGTGATTAATTCATTAACGCTCGCAAGGTGTTCTTTCTTAGTAATGTCTATAATAGTCATTTAATCGACATTCATTCACTAAGTTTATAAACTTTGGTGGTTGAAGTCATAATGTAAAAATTACATGTTATGAAATGTACTTCAATTTGTGCAGGGTGCATGAAAAAGTGCGTGCTTCTGAAAGTCGGGATGGAGCATCATTTATTGGTCTATTCGGTCCTGCCCTGTCTCTTGGCATTATTTCTAGAAGAAGAGTATATTACGAAGCTATCAAATATGAGCAAGAAAGAAATGCAGGTTTCTTATCACCCTTTGGTTATTCAGCTGCCACGATTGCAGCAGCAGTTGATGCTGTGTGCTCAATGGAGGTGCTAGTTATAACTGTTATGCTTTGTTTGAGTACAAAATTATTTTGCGCCTTATTGATTTTGTTTTGTCTTATATGTAATACCATGGTACTTGCCACGAACTTTTTTCTTTTCTTCTTTTGTCAAATGATTTGTTTATATGTTTGTCGTAGTGGTATTGGCTTATGGCTTTGAGAAATCAGACAAACAATGACGGAGTATACTCAACAAGGATATGGAAATGGAAAGGATTTCTTATCGAGGTATTCTATTGATTGGTTCATGGTCAATGTTTGATTTTTCGTGAAGTCCACTTTGCAAGAGCCCACTCAATTTTTTTTTCTCAGTGAAATGAGTCAAGACCAGAAGTACTCAGTACAGCTTAAGTAAAATATTTATAAAATTTCCTGCTAATTTCTTGTCTAAATGGATTTTCCCAGTATACAGTTGCTGGTGAGGATGGTCCTGCCGTTCTTCTTGTGCATGGTTTTGGTGCCTTTTGGGAGCATTACCGTGACAACATAAATGGTTTAGCTGAATCTGGAAATCGAGTTTGGGCAATTACTATTTTAGGATTTGGCAAATCAGAAAAGCCAAATGTTGTATACACTGAACTCTTGTGGGCTGAACTATTGAGAGATTTTATTGTTGATGTTGTGGGTGAACCAGTTCACATTGTTGGCAACTCAATTGGCGGTATGACTAAAGCATGATTGGGTATCTTGCACCAAAAAAATGTGTCGTTTGCACACATGCAATAATTTGGTTCCTGTGTGTGTGTGTGTGTGTATTACCAGTTTATTCTCACTTCTGTTGACGATTTGATAATTTAACAATTACTTTTCCCTACTCTAGGTTATCTTGTTGCTATCGTTGCTGGTATTTGGAGTGATTTGATCAAATCCCTTGTTCTGATCAACAGTGCGGGCAATGTCATCCCAAGTTATTCATTCATACCACTGTCTAGAGTAAGTGTAATCGAGAACAACTCAAGTTCATACAACATTTGTAAGATATTATACTTTTTCTATTGGCTATGCCTGAAAAACTGCAGTTTGCTTCTTCTTGTCGTAAACTTTTGCTGCCGTTGATGTGTGATATCATCTTCTTGTTAGAACCGTACAGATGTTTCCGTTATACGTAATGTATCATCTAGTCTTCAATGGAAACGTACCATGAGTGGATAGTTTTCATGAATAGAGATAAGCATCTAAAACTGCGAATATAATCGTAATGAATCTTAGCAGCTGGGTTGTGTTGATTTCTTCGAACCATGATTTGACGTTTTATTGTGAGTGCAACATAATTAGTTTGTTCTATTTAAAAGTTCATTTTTTTGTGTACTTGTAAAAGGTTCAGGACAGACAAACTTCGGGGGCTTCCTGGTTGGGGTCTCGCATTCTTCTGTTCTACTTGAGGCTAAGAACTCAGGAGTTACTTAAGAAATGTTATCCAACTGTAAGTGTAATTTTTGTCACTAATTTTCAAATCTCATTTATTTGTTATACATTTGTTGTGATGGTGGCTTATTGTGTTTTCTTTGTAGAGGGTTGAAAGAGCAGATGATCGGCTCATAAATGAAATGCTAAGAGCAGTATCCTCTACTTTTAGAATCTAAATTATTTGTATTGTGTCAGCAAGTTTCACATTCTGATACACAATTCTTCCTGTGACATCTCCTTTACATATTAAAAGTCATATGATCCTGGTGTGCTTGTGGTGTTGGAAAGCATCTTTAGCTTTAATCTTTCGATACCTGTAAACTTTCTTCTTGAAGATGTCAAGGAAAAGGTCCTAATCATACAGGTATTATAACATGGATATCAAGTTTTATGGGCGACAAAGGATGGATTAATATGTTTTGAGAATGACTCTTATAGTCATAAATTGTTATTCATTTCTTTGTTATTAGGGAATGAAAGATCCGATTTCTGATTCCAACTCCAAGGTGGCTATGCTTAAAGAACACTGTGATGGAGTTATAATTAAGGAGTTAGAAGCTGGTAGCCTGAGTTTTTTTATATCTGTACTTTTATATAACAAAGTACTTGGGCTTTGTTTCAAATTGACCCATTTTCTTCTTCACATTTACACAGGTCATTGTCCGCACGATGAGGTACCAGAACGAGTGAATAGTATCATTTGTGAGTGGATAATCGGTGTAGAAAGTAAAATTTTGGTAGAATGTCCGGTGTAATATTGATTGATATCAAGGAACTGCCAACTGCATACAAGCATGCCATCCTGGTAATTCTCCTGCGCATATTAATACACCAGTATTGCCTTGTTGACAGTTGATTGGTAACTGGATCCAGCACAAACTTAATCCAACAGTCGACAAAACCTCAAACAAGACATGTATAGCTTCCTGCATTTTTGTTATTTCTAACTTCACTGTAATTTCAATTTTAGTTTTATTTATTATTTTAATTATTTTAAATTATAAAAAGTATTTCAAAAAGTGACAAAGGTTAACCAAACATTTTTAAACATGTTTAGTAATATCATTTGGATTATAGTATTTTCAAGAATTCACATTTTTTGGATTATAACATCGTAACCAGCAAAAATTGCCTCTTATTTTTGGTTCTTCGCATTTCCTGTTTTCTTTATCCCTAGGTTTTCCTCCTCGTGTATAATCATTGTTATTTGATTGATAATTATGGGGGTGAATATCCAACAACCATGCAGTGCGATCCTTCGTAAACGGAGGAGTCTTGAATCTGTTTAGCCGATCTTGTTTTTCTGGGATATCCCACACCTTCAACAGTTGTTCCTCTGGGATTTGATTATTTCTTGGGGCTTCCGTTGCATTTATTTTTCACAAGTTTTTGTTTGGGGGGTAAAGAGCAACGATCAAATAAATGATTAATACGGCACTTAACATGCAACAGAACAGAACACGCGAATAAAGTCAACCACCTAGTATTGGTTTATTTATTGTTAAACTGTAATGTGAAAAATAAATACTTTTTTTGAAACTTATAATTTTACCAAAATTTAAAACTACTTTGTTGATGATTTTTAAATGTTCTTTTACCAAAAAAATTCTCTCGTTTTATTCTTACGAACATAAATGTTGGTCTAAGGAGGACAAAAAAAAAGAAAATCATTTAGTTTTGTTAGTTTAACTCAGGAATAAAGGTACAATAATCAACTTTATAAAATAACTATTTTTATTTATTTATTATTTTCCTATCACGTCAATTAAACTACCAAATTTTAAAATATTTTATCTCTAATTTCATTTCTTTTTTCTCAATTTTCATATATTTTTATTTCTCAAAATACGAAAACAGAAGATAAATTAATTTTACTGTGAGCCGCAACAGTTAGTACATCTTGACGAGAGAGAAGTTACCTTTCTATTTTCTACGTCACTTCTCTATATCTTCCACATCTACAAACAATACGCCATTAAATTTTTGAATTTCATTAAGCAATACATAAACTGCAGCATATAGTATTAATGCTCCTAATAGTTAAATGAAAATATATATTCTTACTGCGAGCTGAATAAAATAAGTTTATCTTCAAAACAATAAATTGAAATTAAAACTAAAATTAGAATTGAAGTAAACATTTCACAGCAGAAGACACAAAAATCCTACCGAACGTAGGAGCATCCTGGCTTAGTACTTTCGTCAAACACCCTGCAGTAGTGGTGGAAGCCGCTTGAAATATTTTTAAAACCTTGAGTTGATGACTTTTATAATTCTTCAAAGCTTAATCCATAATCAAACGCTTCCGAGTTCCGAAGGCGCAACTCACAGCTTCCTCGCCCTCGCCGGAACTCAACAGAATCGCTTATTCATCGTCCACCGTGTGGCAAACCTAAACAGCTGAGCTAGGTATTTCACTCTGTTACATTCACTCTGTCTCAGAATCCGTATCCAAAATCGTGTGCATTGGTAATTCTGGCATATGACGTATTCGAGTAATTGATCCAGGAATCATTTTCATTTCCGCAGTTGCAATGTCAAAGAATAAAGATGCTACCAATCTCTCTCGCACCTTTAAATACCTATTAGGTCAGTTCATTCTTTTCACCTCTTGTAGCAACATTACCACCATCGTCTCGCTTGTTCACATTCCTAATATATTAGACGTGATTAAAAAATTAGTTATGTTCCGCAGTTAATTGGAGTCTATTTATTTTGGATTATTACGACGATAGCTTTTTACCCTGCCTTGTGAGCTGACTCGTTGATATTTCCCCATTCCATTTTACTTTTTTGGGATATCGTGAATCCAGCTACCCAGTTCTTGTCAAGAGGGATTCCATTTATATTCAATACATGGATTGTAAGGCATCTCACGCAAGAGGACTATGCGGTAACTGTTTTCCCATACTCTCTTTAATTTTAATTGCTGTCTCTATCTTCCCCGTGCATAATAGTTACTTCACAGTCAAGAGATGCGTTTTCCAGTTGTGCTGTCTCTATTCATTTCTTGGAATTGATTTACTTTCTTTTGCCTCTTGCTTTAGTTCTAAATTTGTTTATTGGGCGTCAATTTATTTTTTATGCCTTTTGTGTCATTATGACCTGCATCATAAGATTTATGATAAAAATTGATTTACCATCTTGACAACTTTTTTTTTTTTATGCAGCTGTACGCAGTGCAGTTTCATCTGCTAGTCACATGTATATTATTTCTTAGCCGGGAAGGCTTTCGACGAGCATGCTTGCGAATGGACCTGAAATGGTGATCCCTTTATGCTCTTTCTAGTTCTGTTACGTAGGAAGAAGTGTATTTAAAGAAATTGGGCTCCACAGATCTTGTCAAGCGTTAAATGTACAGTAAGAACGAATGAGCACAGTTTTGGTTAGTTCATTAGTTAGAGGGAATGTCTTGTCGGTTAGAATTGGTTACATAAATAGTGAAATCTGATTGTTAAAGGGCGTTCAGTGTATTTGACAGGCTTGTGAGCGAATGGAGAGATCCTTTGTGAAAGGGAAACCTTTGGGGAGAATTCTACTCCACAGTTTCTGTTCTCTTTCAATAATACAGCTCTTAACTTGAATGATTTTTTCTATTTAATTTCCATCTTATTTTCTGAGTTCATATGATCTTATCAACAAGTTTATTCGGCTTAATTTTGATTCCTTGCTTGAATCCTCCTAGTTGTTGGGCTTTTTCCATGCTTGATGATGAGGGCTTTGTTAGTTCTTTTGATACCTCTTGATTGTGCGTATGGTTTGTTTATGGGCCATCTTTTGCATCATGCTTCAAAAGAAAATGAGTATGTGTTAGGTTTAAAGCTACTGCTTCATAGGTGAGCGCTGATTGTTTAATGATTCTTTGGATAAACTATGCTACTTGCCAGAGAAAGAATGTGTACTGGAATTGTATTTAAAAATATATTTCTAGTTTGGTTGAAAGATCTTGTAAAAGGCCGAATTGAGTGTCTCAATTCAATTCTTTGATAGTTAAGAATATTATCAATTTAAAAAGTATTATTATTCAAATAAGTTTAACCAAGGTTTTATATCTTTCATTTATTTTATTTTTAATTCAATTATTCCCAAACTTGAGTGAGCTCCATTTATAATATGTAACTTTTTATGTTATAGTGATGGCAATTCAATGGGAGATGTTGTGAAGCTAATGAAAGTAGTGTGGATGAGTTTCCCTCTTGGAATATTTATTACAATTGTAATATGCCTTTTTGTCTTCTGGTGGCAACAAATAAGTTATTGTAGTCCACATGGGCAAGCTATCTTGATCAATGGTAATCTAATGTAGCTTTTTGTCATCTATACACTTTTTTTTCTTTTAACTTTCATGAGTTATCAATGTTTTTTTCTGTAATCTTATCTCTCTTCAAAACATATGAAACCACGCATCCTTAAACAACTTTCCAAAAATTTTCAGATTTTGTAAATTTTGAAAATTTATGAGTAGAGTTCACTTGTTATGCCAGGTTTTGCATGTATTTTGGAGCTCTTGGCTGAGCCTGCGTACATTCTCTCACAAAGCATGGTTTTACTTGAATTACGGCTGATGGTTGAGACTATAGCCACTCTGTTACGATGCTTGACAATGTATTTTCTAATCAGCAAGCAAACTGGAATTGTAAGAGTGGACTTATACTGAGCTGCAGATATTTACTTTTACTATTGTTAAGCAAACAGCCAGTGCTTTTTCTGTTAAGCTTGTAGATATGCTAATAACATTGATTCTTGAAGGGACTTCTATTGCGCTAGTTTCTTGCTATTGTTTAAGTAAATTACTGCTGATTTTCTGTTTGGTTTACTAACATTTGTTCATAAATTTTAGAATATTGAGACCATAAAACCAAGGGTATATTATTTTTTGCTTATTTAAATAATTAATTTAATAATTTTGAATTTAAGGTTTTTGAAACATCAGATGAATCAGACATGCAATCCAATGGCCAAAAACAATTACAGAAAGCAAAATGCTGTACAAATTAGAGAAAACACCTACTAAACTAGAAGTGTAAATCAATTTGGATATTGATGTTCTAAGGGACTTTTTTGTTTGAAAAAATGTTCCGTTTTTTATGTTGTATGTTTTTTGTTTTCTGGAGTTATACAGGAAAAAGACAGCAGAAAATGAAACAGAAACCATTTTTTAAACCAAACAGCGCCTAATATTAGGACTATTGAAGTTTCATTTGAATCTTTGCTGATATATATGTTTTCTGAGTGATAAAGGAGTCCTGATAAAAAAATCCGGTTAAAAAGTTTAATGATACAGATGTTGAAACCCAAGAATAATAGCTGTCTTTTATTAGTTCAATCATATTGGGCAGGTAAACAATGCAAATGAGCTTTCAAGTGGTGCACTCTTGTATCATTGATAGTATGCTGCTGTGTTGCTTGTTTATAGCATTTCATTTCATCAATTTTAGGATGTCTGCCATGTTATTTTACTCACAAGTTTCAAGAACTTTTTTCTGCATTGTGCATTTTATTTTTTATGCACTCACAATTTGGTATGATAATGCTGTTATCAATCAATTCTCTAGTAAACTAATCTATTAGAGTACCAAAAAAATGTTTTATATTTGTGACATATCTATGTGTAAATGCAACTGATTCTGAGTTGAATGATCATTTCCAGGAAAAATCAATCATATTTGGTTTGTCACAGTCTGCATATGGAGCCAGCTTATTTCTTGGTTATTGGGGCTATCTTTTGCTTTTCCAAAAATTGAAGGTTTCATACCTCTTTCCATTCAGGTATAGTTATTTATTTCCATATAGTTTTAACTATATGGGAAATTTTCTTCTATAAGCTCTAAGCAGCAGTCTCATTGA